GCAACAAGCACGTAAATTAAATATGAATACAGCTTTGGAGTTGTATTTATATTTAATTTACTCCATTATAATTATAAACACTGCTTTCCCTATCCATCCATTCCCACCCTTGGCTCACCCCACTAAAGAAAGTAGGAGGGAGAAGTTTGAATGTGTGCTAATGAGGGGGGCTCAGAAGCGAGGTGATCCTTTTGCCTTTCTCAGTGTGAACATCTTGTCATTGCCTGTGATTCTAACGTTTATAGATTCAAATGTTTATATACAGTGGCTTTTAAATGTCATCTTTTTTCTGTTCTTCACTGCAAAATTTGTTCAAATTCTATAGGAAAATTTAGCTGGGTTAAAGAGATAGTATGTTGCTATCCAGTGCTGAGAGTAGAGCAAACTTTGGACCTTTGGTCCTATAAAAGAAGTCAGAATTTGTGGGAGTATGAATCCTTGTTTTCAAGAAGCGCTGGGTTCGATCCTCAGCACCACATAAAAATGGGGTTGTTGTGACCACCAAAAACTGAAAAAATAAATATTAAAAAATTCTCTCTCTCTCTCTTCCTCCCTCCCTCCCTCCCTCCCTCCCTCCCTCCCTCTCTCTCTCTCTCTCTCTCTCTCTCTCTCTCTCTCTCTTTGTTTTAGAAAAAAAAAAAAAAAAAAAAAAAAAAAAAAGAAGAAGAAGCTCTTGATCTAAACTGGTATGGTACAGGCACATGCCTGTAATCCCAGCAGCTCAGGAATCTGAGACAAGAGGATTGCAAGTTTGAAGCCAACCTAGGCAACTCAGCAAGACCTTGTCTCAAAAATAAAATTAAGGACTAGGGATGTAGCTCAGTTGGTAGAGTGCTTGCCTCATATGCACAAGGCCCTGGGTTCAATCCTCAGCACCACAAAAAAAAAAATAATAATGATAATAAATTAAATTAAAAGGGCTGGGGCTATAGCTCAGTGGTGGAGCACTTGCCTAGCATACACAGGCCCTGGGTTCAGTTCCCAGCACTGAGAGAGAAAAAGAGAAAAAGAAAAGCCCTCGGGGTCTACTTGGGGAATGTATCTGTGCTGGAAAGAACATCCCTAAAACAATTCACAGTAAAGGGATATAAGGAATCATGAGAATAAATGGCAGTTGCATATCAGAATGCCCTAATTTCAAGGGTTCTGTTCCATTGTTACTATAATCATTTTTGTCAGGAAAAGAGGTTTCACATTTGATTTAAAGAAAAACTTCATCAGTATCATTAGAGGGGATGTTAAAGAGTGAGTGCTTCTACCCACAGGGGGTTTCTTGGAAGTACAGTACTGGATTGTGATTGAATAGGTAGCTAGAGGAAGATAAAAGGCCCAGGGATGTTCAGCTGAGGCAAGTGTTAGAAGCTTGAGGTATGGAGGTCTGAACAATCAGCCAAGCAAAACTGTTCATCTTTTCATTGGGCCAGAAGGTAGGGGACACAAGATTGGAGTCACAAGAGAGAAGGATAATGGAGAACATAACAGTAGACTTAGGAGTTAAGATGTGTTCTCTTGACCATTGTCTGTTCCTCCTCTTCGTAATCGGAGCACTGAGATACTTTTGATTGCTTTCCAACCTGTCTCATGGTTACATTTAAGTTGTGGATTTTATTAAAAATCTATTTGAAAATGATTTTTCTGATTTGTTTAAAAATCAGAATAGATGTGGCTCTGTGATTATTTTGTAAGCCCTTGTGGAGTCAGTGTGATGTAATAGAGGCTGGGAATAGGAGTCAGGACCGAGGGACTCAGGGCTCTAGCACTGTGCTGTCATTTATTAGCTCTATGACCTCTGATAAATCACTTCACCACTCTATTAATTTCTAACCTCTAAAATGTTAGGCCAGAATCAGAGATTTTTATGTTATACATTTTTCTTCTTAATAAGAGTTTTTAGAAATGAAACTTTATTCAGAACCCTATATATAAAACAAAGCTGATTAGATTAATGGTTGTTAAGAGAGCTGGAAGCTCCAACTTTTGTTGTTGTTTTCAGTTATACATGCCAATAGAATGTATTTATATCGTACATACATACTTTCCATTCTCGTGGTTCTTGACGTGGAGTTACACTGGTCATGTATTTATATTTGAACAGAGGAAAGTTATTTCCAATTCATTCTACTGTCTTTCCCATTCCCATCCCTTCCCCCATTCCCACCTGTCCAACCTAGTGAACCTCCACTCCTCCCCCTCCCCCCCAACTTTTGAGAGTCAGCATCCACATATCAGAACATTCATTCCGTCTTTGGGTTTTTTTTTTTTTTGGAAACTGGCTTATTTCACTTAACATGACAGTCTCCATTTCCATCTATTTACAAGCAAAGGCCACAATTTCATTCTTTATGCCTGAGTAATATTCCATTGTGTATATGTACCACATTTTCTTTATCCATTCCTCTATTGAAGGGCACCTAAGATTGGTTCCATTGTGAACCGAGTTGCTGTGAACATTGATGTCACTCTAGTACACTGATTTTAAGTCCTTTGAATATGTGCCAAGGAGTAGGATATCTGGGTAAAATAGTGGTTCCATTCCCAGTTTTCTAAGGACTCTCAGTACTGCTTTCCAGTCCGGCAGCAATGTATGTGTGTTTCCCCACCTTTTTCCCCATGTCCTCACTTAACATTTATTGTTACTTGTATTTTTTCTTTCTCTTTGTAGTGCTGGGGATTGAGCCCAGGGCCTTGTGCATGCAAGGCAAGCACTCTACCAACTGAGCTGTATTTTTTTAAAAAATATTTATTTTTTTAGTTGGACACGATATCTTTATTTATTTATTTTTATGTGGTGCTGAGAATCAAACCCAGGGCCTCGAATGTGCTACGCAAGTGCTGTACCGCCGCACTTATATTTTTGATAATTGCCATTCTGACTGGAGTGGGATGAAATCTCATTGTAGTTTTAATTCACATTTCTCAAATTGCTATTGATGTTAAACATTTTTTCCTACATTTGTTGACCATTCATATTTCTTTTTCTGTGCAATATCTCTGTTCAGTTCCTTTGCCCATTTATTCATTGGGTTATTTGTCTTTTTAAGTTTCGGTTTGTTGAGTTTCTATTTGTTTCTTGAATTTCTATTTGTCTTTTTGTTTCTTGAGTTCTTTATATATCCTGGAGGTTAATCCTCTATCTGAGGTGCAGGTGGCAGAGATTTTCTCCCATTCATGTCAGAGGTCTTCCTTTGCCTGTCCAGAGATTTTCTCTCTCTTCATGTTCTTGATTGTTTCCTTTGCTGTGAAGAAGTTTTTAGTTTGAAAATTGATTCTTGATTTTACTTCTTGCACTTTAAAAGTTTTGTTGAGGAATTCAGTTCTTAAGCCAACATGGTGGAGATTTGAGCCTGCTTTTTCTTCTAATAGGTGCAGATTCTCCGGTCTTAATCCACTTAGAGTTGAGTTTTGTGCAGGGTGAGAAATAGGGATCTGATTTCATTTTAGTACGTGTGGATTTCCAGTTTTCCCAGCTCAATTTGTTGAAGAAGCTATCTTTTCTTCCATGTGTTTATTGGTGCTGTTGTCTAGTATGAGATAACTACATTTAAGTGGGTTTGTCTCTATTCTCTACCATTGGTCTTCATGTCTGTTTTGGTGCCAATACCGTGCCATTTTTGTTTTTCTAGTTCTGTGGTATAATTTAAAGTCTAGTATTGTGATGCCTCCTGTGGAAGCCCCAACTTTTTGTCCAACCCATTCTCCCCAAGATCCCCCCTAAAGTCCCTTCCAGAATTTGACATTTTCTGATTCTTATATTGATAAACTTATTAGAATTTCTTGAACAAGTATGAAGAGGTAATATAAAACTAAATGGAGCACACACTTTACTGCACACCTGGGCTGTAGAAGATATTACCAGGTACAATAAACAATGTGAATAGAAGCAGAAATCTAGATCCTTCTTCAAGCAGACACTTGGTGAGAAAGGAAAAGAGAGTTTCTGCAATTTTTTATAACATAATTCACATTACATAGTGATCCAAGGCACTAGGCTGTGGAGATTGAGAAGAAAGGAAAAAGAGAGAACTTGATTCACCCTCTGGATACCATCACTGCTGCAGCTTCCTCCAGAAACATGCTCTGTTAAGGAAGCTCTTGCAGACTAGACTTATGGGTGTATTAGTTTCCTACGGCTGCTCTAACAACTTATTACAAACTGTGGTTTAAAACAACTGAAATGAAGCCAGGCATGGTGGTGCTTGACTGTTTCCCAGCTACCCTGAAGGCAGAAGCAGGAAAATTACTTGAGTACAGGAGTTTGAGGTCAGCCAGGGGTAACATAGCAAGAACACATCTCAAAAGAGAAAGAAGAGTTTGCAATTCTTATCCCTGGGCTGTGATCATGACTGGGCAGGCTGCATGCAGAGGGAGAGGTCTTCCTTTGCCTGTCCAGCTTATGACATTTGCTGGTATTCCTCAGCTCATGGCCATATCATTCCAATTTTCAAAGCCAACATCTTCAGATTTCTCATGTCTTCATATGACCCTGTTTGTGAATAGTCTCCCTCTGCCTGCTCCTTTAGAGGGATACGTGTGACTGTATTTATTTAGGGCACCATCTCAAGATCCTTATTAATAACATCTACAAAGACTGCCGTATAAAATAACATTACAGGTCCCAGGGGTTAGGCTCTTAGGGAAGTCAGGGGAGGTAAGCATTTTCAGCCTATTATAGCAATAAAACAAGTAGCACACCATACATACTTCTTATGGACTTAGTGAAAAACTGGAATAACCTTGGAGTCCATTAATTTGGAACTAGTTAAATCAACCATGGTACATCCAGAGCATGGAATCAGGTATAACCACTAAGAAGAATGAAGTGAGCATACTGACATGGAACCATATAAGTATTATTAGAAGTTTACATGTACAGTATAATAGATTTACAAGTTTTACAAGAAAGCCAGAAGAAAGTGGACTTGCATTTGATTTTTCTGGGTGAATTATGACAGAACTGATAGAGGAATGTTAATCTCTAATCTTCTTGGTTTGTTTCCCAGATAGCAGACCCTACATTAGCTGAAATGGGGAGGAACTTGAAGGAGGCCATGAAGATGCTGGAGGAGAGTCAGAGGTGAGTGTGTGCAGGACAGAGGCCACCCTGCTTAGCGTGTCCAACCTGTTTTCTGGTGGCTTTGGTTTCCTTATGTTAAAAATACCTCTTAACTCCAGAATGCCACACATAGCTTCTGCTGACTTTAAAATTGATATTTGTCTTGGGTTGAAGTTGCTTTCTAATTAAAGGACTTTTCGGGAGAAGGCATAATTTTCAGTTTTGTCTGTTAAGAGTTTTAGGGTGATGATACATTGATTTGAGTCTCTAAATACTTCTTACTGTAGATTCAGGTCAGAGAGGGCATCACTACAAGGAAATGGGTTCTGAAATGTTTTGTTGCTGATGGTGGTGGGAGGGTCATGTTCTTTTCCTGAAACTCAAACTGTACTCCAAACTGGGACCTAGAAAGATGTGATAATTGTGTTTCAAATCCTACATCATTTATGAAGAGATTCTGGTTAAATGGCCATTCTGCATGTTCAAATGTTAAAAATTTGGTACGATAAAACATTTTTTTCTTTCCTTTAAAGTAGAAGAGTAGAAGATGAAAATGGGAAGAAGCTCATGTCAGAGGATATTCCAGGGCCACTCCAGGGAAGGTAGGTGGCAATAAAGTTTAGTACTTTTAGATAGGATGTAAATGTTTCTTACCCAAACTTTCCATTGTTTAATTACAGTTTGACAATTTTAGTTTGTGTCTAGGTTTTTTTCTTTTCCCTTCATGGTGCTGGGGATTGAACTCCAGGCCTTGTGCATACTAGCTAAGTGCTCTACCATTGGGCTAAATCATTAGTCCTATAATTTTAGTTTGAGCCCAAAGGGGAAAAAAAAAATGTCCTGCAGTACTAGAGATTGAGCCCAGGTGTGCTCTACCACCGAGCTACATCTCCAGCCCTTTTAAAATTTTACTTACTTGTTAGTTTGATTTTTTTGGTGTCAGAGTTGAACCCAGGGCACTTAACCACTGAGCCATATCTCCAGCCCTTTTTTGTATTTTATTTGAAGATAGGATCTCACCGATAGGGTCTTAAGGCTGAGTTGCTTAAGGCTAAGTTACTGAGGCTGGCTTTGAACTTGTGATCATCTTGCCTCAGCCTCCCGAGCTGCTGGGATTACAGGTGTATTGTGCCCAGCTTAGAATTTAAAGGGATTTATATGCAGTATAACATTAAAAAACTGAAATGCCATTGGATGGTTAGATATAATGCTGAGCTTACCAAACTTCTTTCAGATCTTAATACAACCTCATGACTCAGAGCCATTCATGAATTTGTAATTATAACTGAAGTATCATACTTAGTTCATTCTTAAAAACTGATCTATTCAGTGGACTGAATTTTATTTTTAGAGATATTTTAATTTGCTAAGATTTGTCATTCTTATAATATCCTAAATGAAAGGAAAAGGTCAACTTTAATCAGTGATTAGCAGAGTGATTTAGTTCTTCACAACTGAAGTAACTCTACAAGTCTTTGTGGCTTGAACTAGTGGTGGAAAAAAATCAGAAAAATAAGTAGCTGACTTCAGTTTTCAAAAGGTGCTAGTTAGTCTAGAATTAAAAGTCCCAGCCCAACTTCCCTGAGACAAATTTATTTTTTTTTTATAACCAGGAAACTCCAGGTAGGTCAACAGTACAACTCCCTTAAATTGTTCCTTAACCTGAATGTAAATTGTACAAAAGATTGCAAAAGAAAAGCATAGAGGAAGGCTCACACTGTGCCAGTAAATGCCGTATCTAACATACCCGGATGCTAATATTTTAAAATAGGCACTCCTACCGTAGCTTAGATTGTGCAGATTTTTAAAATCTCTAGGCATGAAGTGCTTTCTACAACTCGGGAAGGAGAATAGGAAGCAAATCCAGTGAGTCTCTTTGTTCCAGGCCTAAAGGGAATAAAAAGGTTTAAGTTTTGTCTGTTCTCCTGATTCCACAGAGGTTTCCTTAGAGGAGATACTCCCAAGGACATCTGTAATTCTCAGAATGACAGCACATTAACACCATGAGTCAGGAGTATTCACACTTGGTAACAATGACATCGTCTTTGAGACAAGCAAGATGGCAGACATAGTGTCATGTGCTTTACCAGCACTGTCGACTGTGTCCTCACTATTCTGTAATGAAAGGGCTTGTCCAGTGGGGATAGGTTACTCAAGGTCACAAGGCTAACCTCCGAGGGCCTCAAGTTTCCTTCCCCATCAGAGGACTAGAGGGTGAGCACCCTGGGGGGAGGGTGGAGTTTTAAGCATTGTTTTGACAGTGCTGCTTTTTTGAAAGAGAAAAATTTTATCAGTCATATTCTAATTAATAGAAATAGTACTTTTATGTCTGTGCATCACACATTGCCTTGCCATTGCTTATGACTTCAGCTATTTGTATTGTTTCCACCCCTCATGTAATGAACAGTTGCTGTCATTGCTTAGATGGCAGTAAATCTATTCTCACTCGAAGCAGATCTCAAGTTTCCCAACTTGGGGAAGAGGTAGTGGTAAATGATGTGTGCATTACATATTTAAGGCTGCCAATCCAAGTGGACTAGCCTGCTACATGAAAGAAAACTAGGTAATCCAATGGTCTTTGTGGCTTGGTAATCCAAGGGTCTTTTTGTTAGTGTGTTCTTGCTGCTTTTGTGACCTCCTAGCATCTTAGAAGGACTTTTGGCTCTTCTAACATGTTCATTAACTTTTCTATCTCTACTCCAGGATTCAAATGAACCAGTCAGTATTGCCAGAGCAAGACTGATCAAATTCTTAAAAATTAAACTCATATTTAAATAAAGAGTTAATCACAAGTAAGGTAATAATTGGAAATCAGTTTATAACCTGAGGTTTATTTTTTAGAAAGTATGAACTGCATATCAAAGCATATTATTTCTCCTATAGCTTCCCAATAAGGAAAAAAAATGATCAAAGCTGGTGTGAATGAGAGAAAGAGTTGGGAGAGAGTGCGTGTGTGTGTGTGTGTGTGTGTGTGTGTGCGTGCGTGCACTCTTCCCACCAGCCCATCAGCTCTTTTTATTCTGCAGTGGACAAGATATGGTGAGCATCCTCCAGTTAGTTCAGAATCTGATGCACGGAGATGAAGATGAGGAGCCCCAGAGTACCCGGTAATGGAGAATGATTGGCAGCTTCCCTTTGAAAGTCTGTGTGTTCTTGATTTCTGTAGTGATCACAGTCTGACAAGTGGCTCAAATAAGAAATTATTTTTCATTGAGTTACATGTAACATTCAAATAATGTTCATTTTCTCTTTTAAAATAAAAAACTTTTGGGTAATATATTTTGTAAAAAGGAGGCATTTAATAAAATTAGATACTGTAGTTTTTATGGTTTGGGGCCTTACAAAAGGGACCAGTAGGACTCAAGAATAAATGCTGTGTGCTTTTATCTCTCTTCTTCCTAAGAGTTACTGCAGCTGAAAATATTGGTCTACATTGTCTGGATATTGCCCATTTGTTTTATTTATTCATCTGTTTAGCTTCACTTTGTCTTTCACTTCTTAAATTTTTTTGTAATAAGTAATACATTCTCCTTGTTCAAAAATCAGAAGGTAAAAATGAGTGTGCCAAGACAGTTTTCCTTCATATTTCTGCCTCCCTACCTGTTGTCTTCCCTAGAGAGAGACCATTACTGGTTTCTTACATTTTCTTCCATAGCTATGTTATAGAGTGGCCCTGCCCACCCTTTCTGGTACATAAAGACCATGTACTTGTTCTGTACCTTGCTCTTTTCTGCTTTGTCTTCTAGTGTCATAATTAAGGAGGTTTCTTTTTGTTAAGAGCTCTTTAGTTTGGATGAAGTGTTTTCTTTAACTAGTCTCCTCCTCATGTTTTACTGGAACAAATGTTGCAGCCAATAACTTTGGATATTTGTCATTTGTTCTAGAGGCTAAAGTGTTTGGAGGGGTCTGAGAAATGGGACTGCTAGGTCAGATGTGCTTTAGGAACTGTAATAGATAGTGCCAAAGTTTTTTTTTTCTTAGAGTTGAGCCAGTTCATTGTCCTACCTGCAATGTATGAAAATACTTCTTTTCTCACACCTCTGCCTACAAGTATATTGTCACATTTAAAGATCTTTTGTTAAGTGATGTTTTTGACAAGAGAAATCTGATGTGAGATATTTCAGCATAATTTAAATTTACTTTTTTTAAGGAACCAGGTTAAATATCTTTTTGTTTTAACACATATTTTATTTCCCTTTGTCCATGATCCTATTTGGTTCTTTATCTTTTTCTTATGTTTACAGTTAACAGGGTTTTTTAAAATATTTTAATTTAGTTGTAGTTGGACACAATAACTTTATTTTATTTTTATGTGGTGCTGAGATCAAACCCAAGGCCTCACTTGTACTAAACAAGCATTCTACCGCTGAGCCACGACCCCAGTCCCTACAGTTAACAATTATAGTTGTGCATGCGAGGCAAGCACTATACCAACTGAGCTATGTCCCCAGCCCTAGTTGTTCTTTTTCTTTTTAGTTGGACTCAATACCTTTTTTTTTTTTAATATTTAATTTTTAGGTGTAGATGGACACAACACAATGCCTTTATTTTTATGTGGTGCTGAGGATCGAACCCGGGTCCCACCTGTGCGAGGCAAGCGCTCTACCACTGAGCCACATTCCAAGCCCCAGACACAGTACCTTTATTTTGTTTATTTTAAGTTTGTTTATGTGGTGCTGGGGATCAAACCCAGTGCCTCACACATGCCAGGCAAGCGCTCTACCACTGAGCCACAACCACAACCCCCTAGTTTATTCTTTATAAAGGAAATTAACCCATCTATTTTAGTTACATGTAAAACAAAACAAACCTAGTTCCCCTTGGATTTACTGTACTATTTTCAATGCTGTTTAATGCAAGAAATTGTTCTTTAACAATTCTTTTTAAAATGTTTTCCATTCATTTTATCTTGGTTCTTGCGGCGTCCGGCTAACGGGAACCTCCAAGTTCTATCCTCTGTAGTTCTTCTTTTCCCCAATTTTGGGGGGTTGGAATCCAGGGCCTTGTGCTTAATAGACAAAAGCTCTATTATTTAGCTACATCCCTAGCCCCTCCTGTAGTTCTTAAGGTTAATATTTAATTTTTAAAATACTATAAAAGTAAATTACTCAAAAACAGTTTTTACCTGCTCAATAAAAAGAGGGATATTTATTTCTTAGAACTCATTTTTAAAATATTTTTCCCTCCAAACTTGCAGTACCATACATGCATTGACTTTTCTGAACTTCTGCCTTCTAGGACATTATTTGGATTTCAAGTCTAACAGATTTCTCTAAATTCTAATTTTGTTTTTGTGCTTTGACTCTAATACTTGTTTAATCTAATTTTATTGACAGAATCCAGAATATAGGAGAACAAGGTCACATGGCTTTGTTGGGGCATAGTCTGGGAGCTTTTATTTCAACTCTAGACAAAGAGAAGCTGAGAAAACTTACAACTAGGATACTTTCAGATACTACCTTGTGGCTATGCAGAATTTTCAGGTAAAGACATTATTAAGAGTTTTTAGTTTCTGTAAAGTTATTTCTGAGTCATATGTGAATGAGCTTTCTTCTGGAGCTCTACCCTGGGCCTCTCTTGGAAAGGTTGCTTCCTCTCTCCATGCCTCAGCTTCATTGTCTGCTAAGTGTGGATAACATTAATAGCTGTCATGGAATTATTGTGAGGATGAGCTAATGGATTAATATATGTAAAGAACTGAGAACATAAGCACATAAATGTTTGATAGTGTCAACAATTATTTACTTCTAGTTATTTATTTTCCTAGTTTGTACCTAGTGATAGAAGAGCAATGATCTGAATGAAATATTTTTATTCACATTTTCTTCCTTCTCTAGAATATTGAAAATGAAAAGCCTCAAGCAGATTATAATAAAAGAAAAAGTTAGCCTAATCAACATTTTTGGCAGTTTTATTTATTCTGGATGTTTTAGGGCTAAATCTGTGCTAACAACCAGCTGGCCACTTTGTAGAATAAGCCAGAACCATGTTTATCAGGGGGTGTGTGTGTGTGTGTGTGTATACATGTGTGTGTGTGTGTGTGTGTGTGTGTGTGTGTGTATATATATATATATATATATATACACACATGTATATATATCCTCACAAGTGGAAGACAAGTGCTCTACCACTGAGCTACAGCCCCAGCCCCTCTTTAGGCTTTTTCTATCTGGGAAACTCCAAATTTCTATTTGTTTTCCATAGTTTCTCCTCTCTCTGGACTTAAGTACAGATGAAGGTTTGTTACTGCTCTCCTATATATCCTTCAGCTACAGTGAGTTGTCAACTAAGATTATAGTGTTTCACATTCTTATCCTCTCTGCCTGACCTAGATGACATTATCTGACTTCAGAAAATAATTGCTTCCATGATTATAAGATTAACATATATAGTCAGAATTAATCAGAAATAGAAGTACATTAATATACGGGTGTCTCTTAACAGGTATGAAAATGGTTGTGCTTATTTCCATGAAGAGGAAAGAGAAGGACTTGCAAAGATCTGTAGGCTTGCCATTCATTCCCGATATGAAGACTTTGTGGTGGATGGATTCAACGTGTTGTATAACAAAAAACCTGTTGTCTATCTCAGTGCTGCTGCTAGACCTGGCCTGGGCCAGTACCTTTGTAATCAGGTAATGTGGTATAAGGCAGCTCTTTTGAAGAAACAGTGCCATGTTTTGTCATGAAGCTTTAAAAAAAAAAAAAAAAAAAACGGTTTCATTCGCTGTATTGCCCAGGCTGGCCCCCGACTTCTAGGCTCAAGCGATCCTCTTGCCTTTGCATCCTAAAACTTGGGACTACCCAGTGTGAACGGCCACACAAAGTTTGTCCTGAAGCTTTTAAATTGTGAAGGCTCATTTCATTAGCTGCTGTGTTCAAGTTGAAAGAAAGATGATCTTATGTGTTTGTTTCCTAATAATGAAAAAACAAAGCATATATTATTGAATTTAGAAATTATGTGTGATGGATACATTTGTGTATTTTTAATTGCTCAATCAACTGTAGTCAAAAGTTATTTCTTCCCATACTCTAATCAAATGGTACACGTATGTATTTTGCTTTTTTCATTTACTGTTCTAATAGAAGTATGTCATACATGCTTAATATCTTGGCAGTTCTTCAAGTGAATGTACATAAATTTAATTGACTATTTCCCCTTTGGACAATAAGAACATTTCCATTCTCTTTTTATGACCGATTTCAGGTAGCACTCTTTTTGTAGATATTTATATATCTTTTGCACATATTTATATATAAAGCTTTGTCTAAGGGGCTGGGGTGTGGCTCAGCAGTAGAGCACTCGCCTAGCATGTGCGAGGCGCTGGGTTTGATCCTCAGCACCACTTAAAAATAGATAAAATAAAGGTATTGTGTCCAACTACAACTAAAAAATAAATAGTTTTTAAAAACTTTGTCTCGGGGCTGGGATTGTGGCTCAGCGGTAGAGCTCTGGACTAGCACATGAGAGGCCCTGGGTTGGATCCTCAGCACCACATAAAAATAAATAAAAGATATTGTATCCAACTAAAAAAATATATATTAAAAAAAAAGCTCTTGGGGCTGGGGATGTGGCTCAAGCGGTAGCGCGCTCGCCTGGCATGCGTGCAGCCCAGGTTCGATCCTCAGCACCACATACCAACAAAGATGTTATGTCCGCCGAGAACTAAAAAATAAATATTAAAAACTCTTCTCTCTCTCTCTCTCTCTCTCTCTCTCTCTCTCTCTCTCTCCTCTCTCTCACTCTCTCTTAAAAAAAAAAAGCTCTAACTTTAGTGTTATATTCCTCTCATAGGTTTTCAGAATCAATCTAGAATTACTCAAAGAGCATTACTATTTTTAAAGCCCAATCAGGAGGACTACCTTGAGATCAAAAGATTGTAAACCCTCTTAGCCAAGAATGTTTAATGAAAAACCCAGAGGGTTGGAGAGTTGATGAGGGAAGGGGCCCTGAGAGATGTGTAGAGGCAACTCGGGGACTAGAGCTGATTCTGAACTGTGATGGCTGATGGCAAGAAATTATGTCCTCTTCTTTAGGGTGTTTCTGTCTTCCTCTAGACAAATGAGACAAATCACTTGAGAACCTACTGCAAGCCAGGTTCTTGTGGATTAGTAATAATCCACTCTCTAAAAGTATGAGATTTATGAGAGTGTTCTATTAAGAGACACAAGCAAGTGGCAGAAGAGTGTATATGAAATGGCCATGCTCATGCTTTTAAAAACATGCACATGCTCATATAGGTAGTTTTATACCTAGAAAAATAGATATGTCTAAATACAGACACACATCCCCCAGAAAATGTCTGGAAAGTTATATGCTAAAAACAGTGGTGGATTGGTGGCTTTGGGGGGAGTTTTTTCGCTTGTACTCTTTTGATGTTTTGTTTTACTTGGGCATCACTTTTGTAATTATTTTTTTCTTTTGGTACCAGGTATTGAAGCCAGGGGTTCTTTGCCACTAAGCCATATCCCCAGCCCTTTTTATTTTTTGAGATATTGAGACAGGTCTCACTAACTTGCATTAGGGCCTTGCTAAACTGCTGAGGCTGGCCTTGAGCTTATGATCCTTCTGCCTCAGCCTCCTGAGTTACTGGGATCACAGGAGTGTGCCAACCCATCTGGTTCACTTTTTAATTTCTTTAAAAAATCCATTAAGGAGGAAAATGTGAATAAAGTACTCATTAAATTTTTTATCTTTAATGAAGCCAAGTCTTAATTACACAGAATAATATGCTGCAACTATTTACAATTCCTAAAACTATAAACACTTGAGGATTTGGAAACTAAAAATTGAGTATAAAATTAATTTGATTAGGGCTGTAGCTCAGTGGTAGAGTGCTTGCCTAGCACTAGGTTCAATCCTTAGCACTGCATAAAGATAAATAAATAGAATAAAGGTATTGTGTCCATCTACAACTAAAAATATTTTTTTAAAAACTGATGAGATTGTCTCCATTTTTTTTAATATTTATTTTTTAGGTATAGATGGACACAACACAATGCCTTTATTTTTATGTGGTGCTGAGGATCGCTTCTGGGTCCTGCCCACACTAGGCAAGTGGTCTACCACTGAACCCCAGGCCCACCCCCCTCCTGTCTCCATTCTTAACACTGACTTCACTTAAGAAATGTAGGTTTGGCCAGGAGCAGTGGTACATGCCTGTAATCCCAGCAATTCAGGAGGCTGAAGCAGGAGGATTACAAATTCAAAGTCTGCCTTAGCAACTTAGTGAAACCCTAAGCAACTTAGTGAGAAGACCCTGTCTCAAAATAAAAAGGGCTTGGGATGTGGCTCAGCGGTTAAGTGTCAATCCTTGGTAGAAAGAAACAGAGAGAAGGAAAAGAAATTTGGGGAGAAGGAAGGAAAGAAAGAAATAAAGATCTGTTGATCCATATTTATTACTGTATAAGTGTGGGTGGACCCACAAATAAGATATTGTTCTTTGAATGCCTTTAGCTGATGTTATTTACCAGTAATACTTGGAGAAAGAATCCTAAATTACCATTCAGAATGCCCACTATTTCTTTTGTTTGGAAAAGTGTTTGTTTTTTGATATATGGTAGAATGTACTAAGACAGTTATTCATTTAGAAAATTTTACATTATATCCTCTTAAACAACATCTGGCAATTCACTGTTTTGTTTGGGGGTTTGGCTTGACTTTCCCAGTAGATACTTTAATATCTACTTACATATTAAGAGTTCCTAAAGGGGAAGATTTTTCTAAAGAAAAATCAACCTTCCATCTTTCACAATCATAAATGAATAGTGACAGAGAACTTTGTTCTAAAGTCATACATCTCTTCTTGTAGCTTGGCCTGCCCTTCCCCTGCTTGTGTCGTGTGCCCTGTAACACTATGTTTGGATCCCAGCATCAGATGGTAAGTCCTGGTTTTGGTTTATTAAATAATATGGAGTTAAGTTTTGTCTTTCTTTCACCTGAAGTTGTTTGCTGACCCGCAGATAATTATTAGCTTATTTGTTTATTGTTTTGATATTTCTATAATACGTGCTTCTGTTTATATGTGCATGAAGTTCGGCCGGTATATAGGTCAGGAGCATCTAGCTCTTAAGGAATCTTACAATCATTAATCACTATATCACCTGTTGCTGCTGTCCGTTTTTTTCCCCTATTTTGGGGGGATATTGGGCATTAAATCCAGGGCCTATGCGTGCTAAGCATGAACTCTACTCAGCCCTATCACTTTAAATTGAAATACAACAACCAAAATAAGTACCAGAAATTCCTTCTGATACTCATTCTTTTAACGAATTACCACTGTTGCCTGGATTTATGAATAGGCAGATTTTGAAAATGAGGTTCTTTATTGTAATCTTGGGGTTGATTTCTGCTTACTTTTAGACATGCAAATGATAAACCTCTCTGTACTGAAGCCAGAGGAAAAACGACAGATTATAGGGTTCTGCATTCCTTTTTTTAAGATAGTTTCATTTTTTAAATTTTATACTAATTTTAGTATTAGTATAGGTATTTTGTTGATTCTTTGGGGAAGGTTGAGAGAACATTTTCCTGAAGTGTTTAAAACTAGAAAAATATTCTGCATATGTACAGTTTTTACCTTTTATCTCATTTAGCTGATTTTTCTATTAGTCTTCAAGAAAAATTTTGGTTTTCATATCTGATTAAGAAAAATAGAAATGTCAAGAGTAAATAGATTTGAGTGATTAACTTTGAGAGTCATCTGCTGCTTTTGGAAGTCATAATTTTTCACTATATAGTTTTTATGCTCATTGTATCCTGTTTCATGGTTTGTTATTTGGTCCCAGGATGTTGCCTTCCTGGAAAAAATGATTAAAGACGACATAGAACGAGGAAGACTGCCCCTGCTGCTTGTTGCAAATGCTGGTAGGTATCATAAACCTGCATCTTCAGTTATGAATATGCAAGAAGGACCTTAAATGCGTTCCTGAAAAGTCTTAAGAAATGTTTAATATACATTATATTACATAATTGTAATGTAATATGTTAATAATACATTACATAATATAGATCCATTACATAATACAATCTGTATCCACATGACAGTGAGAACTATAATATTAATGTTAGCTCTTAGATTTTCAGTTGTTGGGGTTGTGGTTCAGTGGCAGAGGGCATATGTGAGGCACTGGGTTCGAGCCTCAGCACCACATAAAAATAAATTTAAAAATGGTATTGTGTCCATTAACAATTAAAAAAAATTATTTGTTTTTTGAATTTTCAGTTGTCGGTCTGTTTTGGGAATGTGTGTGTTTCACACGCATGTGCACGCCCATGCTTTTTTCATTTAGATTGTCAACACTTCTTCATTTCCTTCATGTGCTTCCTTTCTCTAAATTAAGTTTTTAAACATCACACTTGAATATCCATCTCAGAGGTAACAGGTCAACTACCATTTTCTGCTTCACTTATTGTATTGAATTCAACATTGTGCCTCAAGTCCTAGATAGTGAAGTAAGGCAAGAAAAATATTTTTAAAAATATGGATTTAGAAGGGAAGAAGTAAAACGGTCTTTATTTGTAGATGGCATGATTATATTGATAGAAAGTCCAAAGGAAACTAAATTAAAGCTACTGGTACTAATTAGTGAACCTAGCAAAGTTTTTTGATTTCTGCCTCCTAGCAGTGCACAACTAGAAAGTGAAATTTAAAAAGTCATTTGTAATAGCATCAGAAAACATGAAAACTTTATGGATAAATTTAACTAAGCATATACAGAGCACCAAGAAATACAGAATATTGCTGAAAGAAATTCAAGAGACCTAAATAAGTGAACTGATATGCCATGCACATAGATTGGAAGACTCAATATTGTTAAGTCCCTTCTTTCCAAACTAATCTATAGATTCAGTTCAATTCCTATTAAAATCTTGGCTTCTTATTAGGTGCAGTGGCACCTAATTATAATCCCAGCAACCGAGGAGGCTGGTGTAGGGATCACAAGTTCAAGGCCAGCCTCAGCAACTAAGCAAAACCCTGCTTCAAAATAAAAATTTTAAAAAAGGACTGGGGATATAGTTCAGTGGTAAAGCATTCCTGCGTTCAATCTCCAGTACTAAAAAATAATAATAAAATCTCTCCTTCTCTTTTCAGTTTCCTAGTTAGATATACATTAGCTGATTCTAAAAGTGTATATGGAAATGTAAAGCACCTGAGAATAGCCAAAATAATTTTGAAAAAGAACACAATTTGAAGATTTACCCTATCTGACTTCAAGACTTCCTATAAAGCTACAGATAAGGGCTGGGAGTGAAGCTCAGTGGTAGAGGACACACTGAGCATGTCTGAGGTCCTTGGTTCAATTCCCATATCTATCTGTCTATCTCTCTCTCTCTCTCTCTCTCTCTCTCTCTCTCT